GGTGCGTATACAGTTAAGGTATTAATTAATCATAAAAAAGGAAAAAATTATATTTAATCTTATATTCGCGGAATGTTCATATATCATTAGTTTGTTACTAAATTTTTTAAATTAAAAGAGTAGAGTATAATTGTAAAAAACAGCAATTAGAAATATTTTAAAAGTCATAGCATAAAAGTTTCGACAGTAAATTAATATTTAAAACATGTTACAAGCAGCAAAATACATTGGAGCTGGATTAGCAGCTATTGGATTAACAGGAGCCGGAATTGGAATTGGATCAGTATTCTCATCTCTAATTTCATCTACAGCTCGAAACCCTGCACTTCGAGGTCAATTATTCACATACGCTATTCTAGGGTTCGCTCTAGCAGAAGCTACAGGACTTTTCGCATTAATGGTTTCATTCCTAGTTCTTTATTCATAATTTCTATCTTTATAAATCTAAATAACAAGGGGATATAAATGCAAAAATCCATTACTTTAGATAATCCCCGATCCTGTGGCTTTCTATATTACCTATTTATCCCAATATGTACTAAGTAGACTTGTAATGTTAAAGCCATGAAAAAGACAAAAATTTTTATATAACACAGGAACAAATAATTCCTTAAATATTATGAACGAATATAAAGATATGTTATCTAAATTTATGTTTGAAAAAGATCAAGGAAAAATAACTATAAACTTATTTCCTAAAATTAGTGTGAGGTGGGGTCGTGATATCAAGAATCAAGGTAAAGGCTAGGAGGGGGGGTACTTTAGGTAGTACTTATAAATTAATAAATATAGAAATGTTAATTAAAAGAAAGATTGAATATGCAACAGACTGGTAATTCAACAGGTAGAATACTCGCTTTGGGTGTGAGAGGTTGCTGGTTCGAGTCCGGCTCGTCTGAATAAGAAATAAGCATAAAGAGTAAGTAGATAATAATATAAGTCAAAATTTTATTATAACATCTCTAAATTAATTTAAAGATGAATTAAGATTAACTTCTTCCTGTCTATTTCATTTAGTGTCTTACCGGGTAGAAAGAATTGAGCTTAACAAGTAAATAGTGTGAGTCTGGCGTGATTTTTGGAAACTGTTTTACTGTTCAGTCTCCAGTACGAGGTCTGATGTGAGGCATTAAAAATAGTGGAATCCGAGAGAGGGAAAGTAAATATGTCCTTATAGCTTAATGGCAGAGCAGGATACTGTTAATATCAAGGCGAAAGTTCGATTCTTTCTTGGGACTTTATAATAAATAATTTAAGTTATCTCTCGTTAAGTATACATTTTAGTATGATAAGTGTAAAGAAAAAGAAGAAATAATATAAATACTAATTATTATATTTAATTACATGCCCTAGGCAGGAATTGTATTTAAACAATAATTAAGTAAAAAATAAATAAATACTATACTTGATTTATTTTTTTTTCATCAGAGATCTGAGAATGGTATAAATAAAAAATAGTCCCTAATTTGTTAGAAATATGGGTATTATGCACTTGTCTATCGATAAAATAATAGCACTAATTGTTAATACTCTCATTTTTTTTTGAAGAGGGTAAGTAGAGATATTCCGAGGTATTTTACTTAAATCTAGTATTTAAAGCCTGAGAACATGAGCTCAAAAGTTTTTAAAAGGAATATTAGGGTCAGTTCAATTCTCCATAGACTGTCATATCTCAGAAAGGTTTTGGACATGCTTAAATTAATTACTTTATTTATTATTACTCTCGTAAAGATTATCTTTTTTTGGTAGTAGTGAATGTTCAGGGAGGGGAAGGAGAAATATATTAATTCTTGAGTTCGAGCTGAAGAATCTGAGTAGATGGGGGGGGGGGAGAGGGGATAATAATAAAGGATTTTAGTAGGGGCATAGATTTATTAAAAGCAAGATTATAATAAATAATTAGGGGGGGATATAATATAATGGTAGTATATCATGTTTGCACCATGATAGTCAGAGTTCGATTCTCTGTGTCTCCAAGAATCTTATAGGATTTTTCGCTGTATAAGTTCGTTTTTAGTAAAAAATCGTCCAATGAAGAAATATGGTATAAAATTTTTATAGATACAAATATACCCTTAATATGAATTATATTATATATAAGTAAAGGTAAAATAAAAAGATTTATCTTATAATAAGGTTATTTCGTTCGATCTGATTAATCGTGGAGTAAAAATGTGAAATAAGTAATAAATGAATAACAAATTATATGGAAAATAAGCCTCGATAGCTCACCTGGTAGAGCACAAAACTGAAGTTTTTGGGGAATTGGTTCAAGTCCAGTTCGAGGCAAATAAAGATAACCTGCTATTTAATGTCCTCCTCTTATTATATTCACTTTAATCTCCTCTCTGGAACTTCGGCTATCTTTGAAACCTGGGGAAGATTAGGAAAAATTTTTATTGATTAACCTTATCAGATCGACTGAGGAAAAGATAAAAACTTTAAAGTGATGAAATTTCTTTGTTATAACTTTTACTTTATCATTAAATTTATAGATGCGATTAAAAGAACATATGTTTATAGTATAGGGATATAATAGATGTCACATAGCTTAAATTTATATATTTGAAGTATGTCAAAATAAATGCCATAATAATATATTGACTAATTTGTGTCATATGTGCTTCTATATCATAGTATTATTCATTATTTTAACTTCTTAAATTCTTAGTATTCTTTCTTTCTAGGCAGAGTTTAGATTTTATATTTTATTTCAACTCATCGGAATCTTCGCACTATATTTTTTAAGAATTATATAAATATAGAAGAATAAGGAGGTCCGTAAGATTTTTAATAAATTTATAATTTTATGAAGTTTAAAAATAAAATTATCCGGGCCGAGCTCGGTCGGAGATATCTGTAAGATAATTGAGATAGAAGGAGAAATTTAAATGAATATATTTAAAGACTTCAGGTATACTATTTTTTCATTTTTTCAAGATAACTTTAGTCAATAAGTAATATCAGATACAGATAATTGAAACTATTTTTATTCCTAATTTTCTAGTACAGTACTTTTATAAGGTAACAAGAGGAAGAGGACATGACATTCTTGGTTAAAGTAATTATCGGGGATTAGGGTTAGCACCTATTTGTTTTATTATCAGTACTTATATCCCTATTTAAATATCTATAAATATAAATATGATATCCATATTTATAGACATTTTACATCATTTTACGAAATTCTTGAATAAACATCCATCGCTGAATCTAAATCTTCATTTAATCGACGTTCTCGTTTTAACAACGGATTAAGTTGTCGTCTTTTTTGGAACATTGTTAGATATGGATCCTGACGGATATCTTGAATTCGTGTGGAAAGAGCACCCTGCTGTTGTTGAATATTTTCAACTACATTTCTAAAAAGCGTATCTCCTTGAGAGTTACATGTATGCTGACCTGTACATGGAGTTGTACAGTACTTATTAATTAAAGTATGTGCATGTTCTTCGCAAATTCCATCGCAATAAATTACATTATGACTAATATAATAGCCAAACATAATAACGAACAGTGACACATGGATAAAGAGTTCTAAGTACTTAATGGATAAGTAGAAGAACAGTAGTTGTTGGTTTTTCATGTTTTAAATAATTATAATTTTTTTTTGGGGGGAGCTAATGTTTATCGCTATTTTCTGTAGCGATGTCCATTAGTGTATTTTCAATAATACCAATTACAGGTAATAAAATAACGAACCATCTGAAATAAATTGCTGTAGCAATCATACCAATGGTAATATAAGGTTCTTCAGCGTGTTGTGAACCTAGGTACATAAGTAAGAAGAAATCTGTAACGAATACCCAGAATGCGAATCGCATTAGAGGTCGGAATTGAGATCCTCGTACTCGAGCTGTATCTAAGATAGGCATAGCTAGAAGAATTAATAGAGATGCTAACATAGCAATAACTCCTAATAATTTATTAGGAATTGATCGTAGAATAGCGTAATAAGGTAGTAGGTACCATTCAGGTACAATTGAAGGAGGTGTTTGCATTGGGTTAGCTGGAATATAGTTATCACTGTGACCCATTACATTAGGTAAGTAGAAAACAATAATAGCCATTGCAAGGAAGAATAGGAAAATAGTAATTAAATCCTTGAACATGTAGTAAGGGTGCATTGGAATTCGATCTGAATTTGAGCTTACTCCTAATGGGTTACCACTTCCGTTTACGTGTAATGTCATAAGGTGTAGAATTGCTAATGCTGCTAAGATGAATGGAAGTAAATAGTGAAGTGAGAAGAATCGGTTTAGAGTTCTGTTGTTTACAGAGAATCCACCCCATACGAATTCTACGAAGTCACCTCCAATCCATGGAATAGCAGATAACATGTTAGTAATTACTGTAGCACCCCATAGTGACATTTGTCCGTAAGGTAATACATAACCTAAGAAAGCTGTTCCCATCATTAGTACAAGAATAATAACTCCAATTGACCATGGAAGAATTCGAGGTGATTTATATGAACCGTAGTACATCCCTCGTGCAATATGTAGGTAAACGAAAATGAAGAAGAATGATGCACCGTTAGCATGTAAATATCGAATTAACCATCCGTAGTTAACATCTCGCATAATGTGTTCTACTGAAATGAAAGCTAAGTCTACATTAGGTGTGTAGTGCATAGCTAAAATAATTCCTGTGACTAATTGTAGTCCCAGACATGTTGCTAATAATGAACCAAAGTTCCATAGGTAACTAAGGTTAGAAGGTTGTGGTGAATCCACAACGTAACTATTAACAACACTTAATAGTTTATTGGATTTTAATAATCGCATTTTAAAAATAAAAAACATTAATAAATATTAACATTTAGGTATGTATTATATTTCACATATTATAATAAATTGTCTAACATTGCTACACAATAAAAATTTTTCCAAATTGATCCTTTATTAGATTTGGATAAACGATATTAGATTATAAAATATCTTTTCCTTCTATTAACTGATACTTCATTTGAAATAGTATTTAACGATACCATCGATGAATAAGCCCAAGAAGATTTGAACTTCTGCTACACCGATATCAACAGTGGGTACTAACCAATTATACTATAGGCTTATGTTGCTTTTAATAATTAATGTTAAAGGCAACAAAGTAAGACTTGTCGTTCGATTCAATAGAAGAAAAAGATATAAATTTTTACATTAAAAGAGAATACTATTTATCCAATAATTTAATATTAAAAGAATAAAAGAACATAAATTTATATATTAAAAGAAAGAGATGTATTAAAATAAAAGGGGATTCGATTAACGGTTAGGTCGCCATATTTACACTATGGAAGCAGAGGTTCGATTCCTTTATTCCCTAAAAACCTGCATCTTAGAGGTCTTGTTATATATAAGATAAACCTCACTCTAGTTTATGATTCTTTAATTATCGATCTGATAATTATATAAAGTAAAACTATTACCCTTCCTGAGAAATAAGGCAGGGTTTACCTAAAATGAAAATAAGATTAGATAGAATGATCTTGTATTGTCTGAAAGGACATATATCTAGTCTAACCCTCACTCAGTCCTTATCTTTTACTAATAATATTCTTAAAGTAAGGACAGAAGTGTTAATAAAAATGTAGAGATATTTGGACCAAATATATGATAAAAATAATATAAAATATAAAATGATAAAATTATTTAATTTATAATAACTATAAAGATAGGTAGAACATTCAGTAAAAGATATTTTATTATTTTAAGAAGCTTCTTAAAATAATAAACGAATCTTATTATTTTATGAAGGACTAAGATTGATTAAAGTTTTAATTATAGTCATTATAAGATAAAATTGCCTTATATTATTAAAATATCAAATATAACTATCAGGATAAAATAAATTTAAATAATTATGGTATAGAACAGAATGAGATAAATATTGGGGATATGACCTGTATAATAAAAATTATTATGTTTAATTTATTATCATTAATCTTTAACCCTATTCGTTGTGATGCACCTGAACCATGGCAAATTGGATTTCAAGATGGAGCTACTCCTAGATACGAAGGTATTACAGAATTACATAATTCTATTTTCTTCTATCTAGTAGTAGTTTTCGTTGGTGTAACATGGGTAATTGGTTCAGTTATTATGAACTTCAGCCATGATAAAAACCCTATTGCATACAAATATATGAACCACGGTACAGTAATTGAACTTGTGTGGACAATTACTCCAGCCTTTGTATTAATCGCAATTGCATTCCCATCATTCAAACTACTTTACTTAATGGATGAAGTAATTTCACCATCAATGACAGTTAAAGCAGTAGGTCACCAATGGTACTGGTCATACGAATACTCAGATTTCGTAAACGAAGATGGAGAATCAATTGAATTCGATTCATATATGATTCCTGATTCTGACTTAGAAGACGGACAACTACGATTATTAGACGTTGACAACCGAGTTGTTGTACCAGTAGATACACATATTCGATTCGTAGTAACAGGAGCTGATGTAATTCACGATTTTGCGGTACCTGCACTAGGTCTTAAAGTTGATTGTACACCTGGTCGATTAAACCAAACATCAGTATTCATTCAACGAGAAGGAGTCTTTTATGGACAATGTTCAGAACTTTGTGGAGTTTACCACGGATTAACAAATGAGTCCGTCCAAAAATAATAATTCTCAAAAAAAAAATAAGTTAATTGAGAACTTTGGTTAAAGTTTAACGACTTATAAATATTAAAATATAATAATATTTTAACAATAAAATAGTCTGAACAATGAAGAAATTCATTGATTACATAAATAATAACAAATTGTCATGCCTATTGCTGTAGAAGCAGTTTCATTAGAAAACTACCTATCATGGTTAGACTCACAATCATAATAGTCTTTATTATACAGCAGAGTCATCAGAGATATTAATTATTTACTAGTAATCTTTAATATTTGTGGCAATTACTGTATCTTTTCTTTATATGAGAAATAAAATAGATAAACCTATGTCTTATATATTTTAAATTTAAAATATATACTTTATATTAATCCCCGAAAAAATAATTAAAAAATATAAGATTCATTTTATACCCGTTTTGATCGCTCCCCTTTCTTGCCCTCGATTATCCCACAGATACTAGGTTCGAGCCAGGGTGCTTAAAAATAAAAGGGAATATTACTGAATGTTGAACTATAAAAATGTATAAATGAATATCTCTTATGACCAAATATTAAAAATAATTATATTACATATATAAAGAAATAATAAAATGTTATAATCCTTTTTAGAGTAGACAATTATAGGTAATTTATCCGAAAATTTAATTATTTAACTAGTATTTTATACATTATAATATTCTTTTATTATATAAATTATATTAAGGTATATGAATACAATAAAAGGATATTATTCTTCAAACAAAATATTGTTTCGAATTGCAATGATTATATATTTTATGAGAACAATGCCTAACAAAAAGATTTCTTTCCTCGGTGTGTCCATGTGACGAGTTAATACTAAGAAGTCAAAGAAAAAAACCTTTTTATTGTTATTTGGTATTGAAAGGAAGAAAGAATTGTTAATAATTAATAATAATTTTATATCATTTATTACTAATCCTATTTTGAAGGCATAAGTATAAATAATATAATATATATATAACTGTCCCGAGACAGATATTCAAGGTAATTCGATCATGGAAAATATAATTTTTTTATTTGACATAATCTTTAATGAACTGTTTAAAGTAAAAGAATTGTACCTCAGAATATATTCTTCTTTAAAATTTTTTCGAAAAATGTTTCAAAATTTTTTGATGACCTGTAACGCTTATAAACCTATTATAAAACTGCTTATATTGGATTACCGAATTACTGGGCTAAATAGTATGGTGCTAGAGGCAGGTGGAATAAATTTTTATGATTAATTTTCTTTATATTTTGATACTTTTTATAAAATATCAAGGGACTAACAGATAGTATAAAATAATGAAATAAATGGAGGAATTTATTTTTTATAGACATCATTTAAGGATGCTAAAATAATGTATTTTAGGATTTATTTTGATAAAAGACTGGTTAATAATATATTTTTCAATCTTCCACCTCCGTCATTATCTATATGTTTATGTATTAATGGGAAGATTTTATTGACATGTACATATATTAGTTAATTATAATAAATATGGTCAATACTTTACTTGATTTACTGCAAGTATTGGTTGTACTAGTACCTATTTTATTAGCAGTAGCGTTTATAACAGTTATTGAACGTAAAGTAATGGGTTCAATACAACGACGAGTTGGGCCCAACAAAGTAGGGTATTATGGGGTATTACAACCATTCAACGCGAGTGGTCTCATTTCATAAGAAGTGAGAAATAAATAGAACAAATTGCTGAGAGGTACATAAAAACACACTTGATCAAAAAGTAATCAGTTTTTGAATTACGTACTATCAGCAAGGTGGATCTTATTTTCCGCCTTTAACGATCAGAAGTTTTGCATGCTAAATTATTAACTAATAGCATGATGATATGATCTATTTTTATTTAATAAGTACTCATTGTTCTATTGTATTAGGATTTTTTTAGGAATTTGGATGGCCCTGTTTATTGTTTTAGAAATATACTCTAAATATGATCTAATTATTCGATAAAATCAGTATTTAAATCATTATTTTCCTCTTTTTAATGTGTTTATGTCTACCTATTCAAATCTTGGGAATAACAGAAGTTACTCATTTTTAAGCCTCTTCGATTCATAATTAGTGTAGCCCTAAAATGTATTAAATAAAAATCTGAAGCTGCAGGAGTTAAAAGAGCCTTACTGAAAATGTCAGGAGCTAATGACCCTTTCTTTGATAATATTTAGACATTAAAACACTTGATAGAGCCATAAAAATATCAGGTACAAAAATATTTTTTTACGTTTATAATGCTCAAGAAGCCACCTGTTGTCAGTTTACCTTTCTATTGCACCCAATTAACTTAAATATTTTGCCTATTTCTCTAACACATTATCCAGGTAGTTAGATACAGGTAAAGCATTTAAAGGTTACTATAATTATTCAAGTCATTATAAGCTTAAGAAGAAATCCTAATTTGGTTAATACTTAATGGATCGTATGATATATTAATTAACTACTACTTATTTTATAAACAATGTCGCAGATGCCTTAAAACTGGTAGTTAAAGAAACAGTAGTTCCTGCTCATGCTACAAAAAGTCTTTTCTTTTTAGCTCCTGTAATTACTTTAGTTTTTAGACTATTAGGTTGGGCTGTAATTCCATTCGGTGCAGGACTAAGAATTTCAGATTTTCCATTAGGAATTCTTTATACATTAGCGATTTCATCTATTGGTATTTATGGAGTATTATTCGCTGGATGGGCAGCTAATAGTAAGTATGCGTTTTTAGGGTCATTACGATCAACAGCTCAAATGATTTCGTATGAACTAGTTTTAAGTGCTTCCATTTTAACAGTTATCTTATTAGCAGGTACATTTAATATGACAGGAATTATTGAAGCACAAGAATCTGTTTGGTTCATTGTCCCTCTTCTACCCCTATTTATTATTTTCTTCATTTCAGCTCTTGCAGAAACTAACCGAACACCCTTCGATCTTCCAGAAGCTGAATCAGAATTAGTAGCCGGATTCTTCACAGAACACTCTGGAATGATTTTCGTATTCTTCTTCTTAGGAGAATATACTAGTATTGTTCTAATGTCTTGTTTAACTAGAATTTTATTCCTTGGTGGTTATAACATGACTGAACTATTTACAAATGAAACATTTATTAATCTTCAAAGTATTATTTTAAGACTGAAAACATGTATTTTTATGTTTATTTTCGTTTCTTGGACGAACGTTAAAATTAAAAAATTATTAATATATTTAATAATGTTCCCTCACACAAGGACCCGAAGTATAGAAAGGTAATCAAGAAAAATTTAGGGATTTAAATTTATTAATAACTTTATTTTATTTATTCATTAATTAAGTCGTACCTCCTCTAGGTAAGGAGAGATATTAAAAATATTAAATAAAGTTTAACGACTATAATAATTATATTCAATATTTATATTAAACATTTATATAGTTTAATTAATATTATAATAAAATAGTCTAAACAATAAAGATATTTATTGAAGCATCTTATATATGTTATAATATTATTGTGGACGCGAGCTACTTTCCCTCGTCTACGATATGATCAACTTATGACTTTCATGTGGACAGGAATGTTACCAGTAGCTATTGCGCTAGTAGTATTAGTTCCTTCAATCTTAGTGGCTTTTGATATTGCACCTTACTCCCCGGATATTCATATGATTAATGATAAAGTATAACCTTAAAACTTAAAAACATTTTAATGTTTTCCTGTTTTTTTATATTGCAAAAAAGTGTTTTTAAGGTCAGATATACATTAATGATTAATAACTATTAATACAAGATCCTTATGTAACATAATGTAAACATATTGCTTTAATACTTTAAAAAGAGAAGATAAAATAAACTAAGTAATAATATAAATAGAGTAGTTATTAAAAGGAAAGAAAAGGTATAATAATTATATATAATAAAAGAAGAGCAAGCATGATGAAATGGTAGCCATGCCTCCCTTAAGAGGAGGAGTCTTAAATGACGTGAGAGTTCAAGTCTCTCTGCTTGTAAAACATTTATGCTAACAGAAGATTTGGCAGGAATTAAAGGACAGTATAAAGTAAAGTAAGTCTTATATAAAACAAATAATAATATTTTAATGAGAGTAGTGCATAAGTACGTATATAAATCTTTATATTATTTAATATTTTAATATGCCTTAGAGATCTTTCGGGCATTTCATGTCTGGCTGATAGTTTTAAAATAAATTCCTATAAATAACGATATAACTATATATAAATTTGTAGTATATATAATTAAATATAATTAAAAGTAGTAACGTAATGTATGTATAAATAATTATTATAGATAGGAAGGAAACTATGAGGGATATAAAATATTAAGTTGTTTGAATTATGTTTCATTAATGTTTATATATATAAAATGCAGGATGGTGTAATGGTAACATGTCAGTCTCATGATCTGAAGTTAAGGAGTTCAAATCCCTTTCTTGCATAACGGTGCCATCGAATAATTGGTTAATTCACTTAGCCTTCACTTAAGGAACACCGGTTCGAATCCGGTTGGTGCTAAAATAGTTTATACAATTATCTTATATTGTTGAACAAATAAATACTGTATTATAAAAATTTATCGTAAGAGGTCTTATAAAATTCTATTTTATAAGTGAAGGTAATGTACGTAATATTATAGCCGAATTACAATAAATTTGTATAAAATAAATTGAACTAATCCTGATAAATTTAAATACACAGAGTTGGTTATATTTATGATAGGGTGGATTTTTTTATATAAATATTATTATTACCTGTATAAAATATTTGAATGAGAAAGAACGATAACCAAAATGATAGTATAAGCCGGTATAGTTAAGTGGTATAACATAAATCTTGTAAATTTAAGTGATTGGTTCAATTCCGGTTATCGGTAAAAAGAAAAAACTATTTGATCATGTATTAAATAAATATAATTCGTTAAGGGATCTCTTCATTACTTTGAAGAATATTTTTATTTTCGAAGGATGAGATAAAGATTCTTAAAATTCTCCAAGTAATTTTATTTATAAATAGTATTAAAAATGCTACTTATCTGGAGAATTTTATTCCCCCTCCCCTTTATCGGGCCTCGACTATTTCCGAGACCTTGGATCGGTCCTTACACGGGGCCTGAGGTGATAACTTATTAAGAAATTTAATTACTTGTTAGCCTTTTATATTATCGTATGGACGGGTTCGTTTAAAAGTGGCGGCCTAACTTAATTATTATGATTCCCTTGGAGTGAGCTTAAGTATTGAAGATGATCGATCTTGGTTGTATAGAATAGTCAAATAAATTTATTCACCAAATTCATCATAAATAATGAACTATAGAGTAATTGGCAACTCGTCTCATTTTGGTTGAGAAGATTAATTGTTCGAATCAATTTAGTTCAGAGTATTATTACTAGAAGGCATGTTAAGTATTTATAAATGACTTTATAAAGGAGGGCATAACTCAGCGGTAGAGTAGCTGACTTTTAATCAGTCTGTCGTAGGTTCGAACCCTACTGTTCTTTATTTTATTGTGTTATATCATCTGATATAACAACGGAAACGGGGATAGGTCGTATCTATTTTTTCTTTTTTTTAGTAAAACCAACAAATAGGGTCCTGGCTAAGTTAAATTATTATACTTATTATTCCTCTTAGTTTTCCTAACTAAGGGAAAGACACGCTAGCGGTGAGGCAGTTCAGTTGCTATCTGGATGAAGGGATTCTTATAGGTTCGACTCCTATTCTTTCCGCCTAAATTTTTCCACATCCCTTTTAATTAATTAAAAGACTTTAAAAGTATGATTAAATATGGTAATTTAAATGTAAGTAATCAAAGTGATTATTAAGGATGCCTAGCAAACATTTATTAAAGGACGACTTAAATGTTAGAATGTCGAAAAGCTATAGATAATGGATATAATCCCGATGAGATTATATCGGCGAGGTTTAGTTATGATATAAAATTATAACACCTCGTTTCTTGAGGCGATCCTAAGGTAAACCGTAAAGTATAAACACAGTGAACTGAAACATCTAAGTAACTGTAGGAAAGGAAATCAACCGAGACTCCATAAGTAGTGGTGAGCGAAAGTGGAAATTAGCCATAATTTATTAATATTAGAATCGTTTGGAAAAAGGAATCCGTAGTAAGGTGAAAGCCCTGTATATATTAATAGATTAATACAATTGAAATAGGTAGAAGATAATCTGCTTGTATTGAAAAAGTAAAAATTTTTGTTTATATAAAAAAATTAGAGTTATAAAAATAGTTCTAATTTTTTGTTTCGATTTATTAAATTTATTTAGTAAATCTACATTAGTCTAGAACTAAGTGGAAGAAATCTATTTAATTATAAAAAATAATTAATAGTATATAATCAGGGGAACCATCCTCTAAGGCTAAGTATAAATGTTTAGCGATAGTGAAAAGTAACGTGAGTGAAAGGTGAAAGAGGCCGTTGTTGACTGAGGGGTGAAAATAGACCTGAATTAGTAATCATATAAGCAATTAGAGCTAGATTTTATGCCGATACTAGGCTTAAATTAGTAATAATGTACCTTTTGTATAATGGGTGGAATAAGCGAGCCCACAATAATTAATTATTATTGAATAAACTGACTCAAGGCAAATGTGCCGGTATAAAGTAGTAATAATACTTTATGCTAACGGTAGATACCTATATAAGGCAATACCGTGAATTATATAAAAATTTTTATAATTTGTAACGACTCTTCCTATTAGTAACGGAAGGATTTATGACAGGATCATAAATTCAAAGGTCAGCAGCTTAATACTCATTCTTCTTTGACATAAAAAATGAGTTAAGAATTGAGAAATTTTAAGCTGATGGTATAGTCTGAACTAATATGAAAATATTAGAATAACATTTTGTAGCGAGTTGATAATAGTAGCAAGGTTATAAACCCTAGCGAAAGCAACTAACATAATATGTGGTATAGTTACTATTATCAGACCCGAAACGCAGTGATTTATCCATGACCAGATTAGTAATTAGATCGAATGGTTCAATGTTGCAGTATTGTCCAATGAGTTGTGGATTGTAGGTGAAAGGCCAATCTGACTGCGAGATTGCTGGTACTCCTCGAAACATATTTTAGTATGACTTTTTGTTTATATTTATGCAGGTACAGCACTGATTATCACACAGAATTTCTATTTTTAGGAATAATGTACAATTGGGGGGTCGTTGAGACTTTATCATTGGTAATTAACCTCGGAACAACATAAATTAAATACAAAAATTTCAGACTATTCATGATAAGGTGGATAGTCGAGACGGAAACAGCCGTGAACATAGAATAAGGTCCCAAAGTAATGATTAAGTGAAAATAAGGAAGTGGTGATTTGAAAACAACTATATAGTTAGCTTGGCAGTTGCTATCTTTTAATGAAAGTGTAACAACTTAGTAGTCTAGTGAATCATCGCACCGAAGATAAACGGGTCTTAGATCATTCACCGAAACTATGTCTATATTCTTTTTATTTATTGAAAATTCTTTCCTCGTAAGAGTGAGAATAATAAACATATATAGGAAGAATGAAGGGTAGAGGAGCATTCAGTATGGTAGAAGAATAGTGTTACATTATTTGGACATTACTGAAGAGATTATGCTAACATGAGTAACGTAGAAAGAAGATATAATACTTCTCGCCGAATGCGAAAGGGTTGTTAAGCTATGTTAGACAGCTTGATAAATAAAACGGTCTCTAAGACTATGCGCAAGTCATTGTTAATAGTTGATGAGTATAAATTAGAAAGTCTTTGACCAAGAAAATATATCAGACAATAGCTTTATAATAGTATTTCCTAATATATTAATAGGTCGTGTTATACGTTATATTAGGATATTAAATTTACTTTATGTAAATCTAATAAAGACAAATAATGAACTTATTACTATTATTTAAAGTGTTTTTGCATTTACCGTACCCTAAACTGACACAAGTTCGTAGGTAGAGAATACTAAGGCGTAGAGATAATACTGTTCAAGGAACTCGGCAAAATGCGTCCGTACACTAGATAATAAGGACTACCCCATTATAAAAATAAATAGTAAAATAGCATAAACTTGATTATGTCAAATAGACAGGCTTAAAGTCTATCATAGGAGATGATTATGGCCAGATCGATGTGGAGCTTTTGTATGTTGGAATTAATATTTCATAGAATAATATATTATTTTATCAAAATAATATATTATTGCCTAACCTAAGGTTGAGAAATTAATGGATCAATATATACTATGAACACAATATAATAGGGTGACAGAAAATCGTGAAGCACAACTGTTTACCAAAAACACAGGTATCTGCTATGTTTAATGACATTGTATAGGTACTGAATCTTGTCCGATGTCATGGGTATAATACAGGTACTAAATATGGATATTTGTAGAAACTCTGATCAATGACAGTCTTAACTATAAGGATTTTAAGAGTAGCGAAATTCCTTGGCCATTAAATGTGGTCCCGCATGAATAGAGTAATGATGCTTCAGCTGTCTCAAACAGTATCTCAGTGAAATTGAATTAGCCGTGAAGATGCGGTTTAGGTGTGGGCAGACGGGAAGACCCTATGCAGCTTTACTATAGCTAGTCAGGGCCGATTAAAAATGGATGACAGACAAAAGGTACATGAATTTACAATAAATAGTTTAAATGAAAAATTTTTGATACAAATGGATATATCCATATATATATCAGGATCTAACTTTAATATAAAGTTTAGTTTAAATTATATTTATGTGAAATTTAGGGCGATGAAAGACCATTAGAAGTTTTTATGAGGTTACATTCCCATTTAGTGACAGGGATTGATGACTAGGTGGTAGTTTAACTGGGACGGTTTCCTCCAATAGAGTATCGGAGGACTTCAAAGGTATGTTTGTGTGAGATGGAAACTCATTTGTCATATATGACGAAATAAAACGTAAAGGTATATACATACTTAACTGCTAGACTGATAAGTCAAACAGATACGTAAGTAGGACTTAATGATCCGGTGATCCTTTATGGAAAGGTCATCGCTTAAGAAATAAAAGTTACGCTAGGGATAACAGGGTAATAGCTCTAGAGAGTTCATATTGTCAGAGCTGTTTGCCACCTCGATGTCGACTCATCTTCTCCTCCCGGTGCACAATCTGGGAAGGGTTCTGCTGTTCGCAGATTAAAAAGGTACGTGAGTTGGGTTCAATACGACGCGAGTCAGTATGGTTCCTATCTTCCACACCAAAGAATAATCAAATTTAGATGGATTTTTAGTACGAAAGGACCAGAATCTGCGTTTCTATGGTGTACCAATTGTTGATTTGACTTACTATATTATACCCTAGTGTAGGGCAAGTATAGTCTATATATGTCTATAATCGGCATCGTTGGGTAGCTACAAACGTTAAGGATAAAAGCTGAAAGCATATAAGCTATTGAAGCCTACTAAAGGAGATTTACCACTATATAAGTGGATTATGTTAGAGATAGACTATCTCTTTAATAGGTCACGAGTGTACGCATTGTAAAGTGTTTAGCTTAGTGATACTAATAACTGAAACTTACATTAACCATATTTCCCCCAGAGAGTATTTTAAAAGTTTTTATATAAGTTAAGTAAACTTATAACTAGAGTTAAAAATATAATATTTTTAATCCCCGAGTGTACTAAAATTATTAAATCCTTACTTTAATTGTGATAAACAAAGTGAATGGCTGTACAACATAAAATAGCTGTCATCTTGATAAAGGTAAGGATTTAAGAGTTCTTATATAATGTTATTTATAATAGAACCTAGTCCCACTATCTGTGGAATGATGACATATATAGGGTACAAGGTCCTATTTTACCGTTTCGGTATGAATAAAAATGCTCTAGGCGACAAAATATTCATGCCCCCCCCCTAAAATAGATTATTGTAATCCGCTCTCTTCCCCTCGATTCAGATTGCTCGGCTCGAACTAGGAGGAGGGGGTTAATAGAAGAAAAATATATTGAGGGGTGTAATGAAGTATAGTATTGTTAAATATTATACTTATATATTATAATAATATTTTTTATTAAAGATAAACAGTAGTGGTCTATAAAAGCAATGTTAATTATGTTTGTTAATATGTAAGATTGATAAATATATTAGAGGTAAAAGGGCTCACAAGTGGTTCTTGTACCTAAATTGCAAATTTGGGGAATAGAGTTCAATTCTCTATGAGCTCTAAAAAATAACTTAAGTGGACTATATTTGTTGATTATGCCCAGGAAAATAAACATATAATATACCTATCTATCTAGCAGGTGAAATGGAATCTATGTTAATATACATGGATTTACTTATATCATAAAATATCTTTATAAAATATTATAACTGTTTAGTTTTAATGGGTGCTTATAAAGTATTTAAAAAGAATATTATAAGGGTAGAGACAGAAGAATAAACTTAAAAATAAGCTAACTTTGATAATAATAAAAAAGTAAAAGAATTTACTTTTTTAACTTGGCATATTTTGCTTGACATAATAGTAGTAAATATACAAGTAAACAAGTTTTAAATTGAATAAAATATTTTGAAATATTATATTTATATCCTTTAGATGTAAAATTGGCGCTAATTGAGCTTGAAGTTAAATTTAATAAAAAGTATTAAAAAAAAATATTTCATTCATTCCTGTCCTTTTTGTAATTTCTTAATTAAGTAAAATAACAATCTTATCTAAAATATTTTTTATATTTTAGACAGATGAACCCTGCTCTCTTTGAACAAAGGCACGTGGTGTAAAATATAGATTTTATAAAAGAAGTATATAAATAAATGTATTTAAAGTCTTTTAGGATTAGTATAACTCAAAAATATTTTCGTCTATGGATACTATCAATGGTGATGCAATAGAGGTGGTGTGAAAATATATATTTTATCGGTTAGTAGATTTAATTCTAAATATATAAATTAAATTGGGGTATAGTATAAAGGTTAGTATCTCAAATTCCAAATTTGATTGTGGTGGTTCAAGTCCATCTGCCCCAGATAAATTATTCTATTCTAAAAAAGATTATTCGTTTCCCTAGAATTAGTTATAAATTTGTATTGTATTCAATACATTAATACCTAATTAAAGTGTATAATTTTGATTATGCATTAAAAGGGCAAGAATTGATAATAATAAAATTTTTACTTACTTTGGCTCAGAAGTAGTAATATGTGAAGTTGTTGTAGCTTAATAGGTAAAGCATAAAATATTATTTATTATTTATATATCTTACCCCCTAAAGATGGAAGAATGGGATAATAGGAAATAATAGTACTATTTTTCGGTCCCGGCTCGAGGCCGGTATCTGTAAGATAATAGAGGTAGAGAGAAGAAATTAAACAAATTTTATCTCTAGGTCTATTTATAGACCTACGATTATAAAAATCTTTTTACTCTCTCTCTCAGATAGTAATGGAGAGGCTAGTTATAAATTAAATAATTTAATTTTTAGATCTTGGTTCAAAACCGGCAACATACTATTTAGACAAAAGTCAACATAAGGCAGTTTTAACTCGACCTTTTGTATAGCGATTTCTAATTCTATTTTCTTTTTTGACATAAACCTTGAGTGTGAATTTATTTTCTTGAAATAGAAATGAGGAGAAAATCAAGGATTTATAGTTTTTCTTATAAAAATAGGTAAATACATTATTTGTTAATAATTTACTTAAGGTTCTTTTTTGAAGGCGAGTTGAAGATATTTTAATATCTTCATCCTTTTTATATATGTCTCGTATTATGTAATACCTCCAATTAAGGAATAAAAAGAATATTTAGAATATGTTAATTGAAATTCTTACTAAAGATACATCTCTCAAACATAATTAAAATAAAATATATATTATGAACACATTTTTATTAGATTTATTAGCATTTGGTGCATTATTATCAGGTGTTTTAGTAATTACCTCAAAAAATCCTATTATTTCAGTACTATTCTTAATTTCAGTTTTCGTTAACGCTGCAGGGTACTTATTATTATTAGGAGTAGGTTTCGTAGGTATTTCTTACCTTATTGTATATGTAGGAGCTATTGCTATTTTATTCTTATTCGTAGTTATGATGCTAAATATTAATTTAACTGAAATTGTATCAGTAGGACGAGAATATACTAAAAACTTACCCCTAGGTTTAATTGTAGGATCATTATTCCTTTTTGAAATCTTATCATTAATTCCATCATCATATAAAGAAGCAGGTGGACTACCTTTAGGATTATTTAATTACATTAATGGATTATTTTTAGGTGTTGATAGTTCATCAGTAGGGTCAAATGTTCATATAACATTCTCACAAAGTGGAGCAGATGAAAGATTTAGAGATTTCTTACAAGTTGAATCAATTGGTCAAGGATTATATACATATGGTTCATTATGGTTATTAGTTGCAAGTATTATTTTATTACTTGCAATGGTTGGACCTATTGTATTATGTTTACGATCATCTAGAACAGTAAAATAATCCCCGTACAGTATAAATCTTGACTTTATTCTTGTATCCAAAATAAAAACAGATTCGATCTTTATTTTTATTTTGGATATCTTAGCTTGATTTATGTTAGTTTTACTAAACATAAATATATCTAGAAAAATGGATGAAAGAATAAGTTAATTTATTTTTAATCTTCTTCTAAAAATGAATTAGTAACAAGTAGTAAAAAGTCTTAAGGATGGACATGTTATTAAAGGACTAGCCCCGTTATACATAATAGGCCGTGATAGGTTCAAAAATAATATGTAGGATAAATTTATAGTGTGACTCATTATCATCCTTACCAAGCGAATAGGTCATTTAGAATAAAATATGTATTATGGCATGTTTTTGAACGATAAGAGAATTAGGAGATAGAGTGAATATTTTATTTAGAGTGTAAAAAGATATCGGTAATTAAAAGTGAGAATAAAAATAATATATTATTAAAATTTTAAAGTCTTAATGTATATAAAATTTTATTCAAAAATCTATAAGTTTAAATATTAATGAAATTATATCCGTCCCGTAAAATTATTCTATATGTAGAGAATAGGGTTGGCGTTGACTTATAAAATAATATGTTTATTTTACCACTATTTGAAAGGTTATATATGGCAGCCACTATACAATAGAATTGTTTTGTATTAACAGTCTTAGGGGGATTAAGCCGCATAATATTAATCGGTTGATAAATAAATAATATTAAAGGTTTATTATATATAAAAATAAATAAAAAAAATGTTAACAGCACTATTATTAATCCCTATTATTGGAACATTAGTAATTCTTCCTATGAGTGAAGAAACAAGTAGTACACAGATTAAACAAATTGGCCTAATTAGATCATTATTAAATTTTATTCTTTCAATTGTTATTTGGGGTGAATTTGATTCAAGTTCATTACAATATCAATTTGTACAAGAATTCAATACTTTAGATTTTTGTCATTTACATATCGGTATTGATGGTATTAGTTTATATTTTGTACTTCTTACAACATTTATTACACCATTATGTTTATTATCTAATTGGGAAAATTTAAAATTTGGTTATAAATATTATTTTATTGCTTTCTTATTAATGGAAACATTATTAATTGCAGTTTTCGTTGTATTAGACCTTATGTTATTCTATGTTTTCTTCGAAGCAGTATTAATTCCTATGTTCTTAGTTGTAGGTATTTGGGGTGGTTCAATTACACGAATTCGAGCCTCATTCTTATTATTCCTATATACACTAGCTGGTTCATTATTTATGTTATTATCTATTGTAGTTATTTATTATAATGTAGGAAGTACTGATTTTACTATTTTATCATTATCTGATATTAGTTTCGAAAGTCAAAAAATTCTATGGTTAGGTTTCTTCTTATCTTTTGCAGTTAAAACACCGATGGTTCCTTTCCATATCTGGCTTCCACGAGCGCATGCCGAAGCACCTTTAAGAGGGTCTATTTTACTAGCCTCAGTTTTCTTAAAATTAGCTATTTATGGTTTCCTACGGATCCTTATTAATTTCTTACCTGATGCTACTCATTATTTCTCTCCATTAGTACAGACAATTGCAATTATTACATTAATTTATTCATCATTAGCAACAATTCGACAATCTGACTTCAAAAGACTAGTAGCTTATTCATCTATTAGACATATGGCTGTTGTAGTATTAGGGCTATTCTCTAATACTATTGTAGGTATTGAAGGTGCTATTTTATTATCTGTTGCGCATGGATTTATTTCTCCAGCTATGTTCATTCTTGTAGGGGGAGTACTATATGATGCTTTCCATACTCGAGTAATTCGATACTACCGTGGAATGACGGTATATATGCCAGTATTCTCTCTGTTATTCTTCTTAGCTACAATTGCGAATATGGGTATTCCGTTATCACTTAACTGGGCTGGTGAATACATGTCATTAGCAGGAACATTCCAAAAATCTCCTGTTATTGGATTATTAGGTGCATCAGGTATTCTATTATCTAGTTGTTATGGTATTTTCCTTTTCAATCGGATTTCTTTCGGTAGATATTCGCAATATTTAGGTAAAGCTAAAGATGTATCTCGACGAGA